CCCTACACCCCAGCCCATGAGAACCGCAGACCACCAGCGCACCAGATGCCCCCAGCCCAGACTGGCTGAGTCATTTCTACCTTCTCCTCTCTGTCAACGCTCTCTGGTTTCATTTAAAAGAGTCGATCATCAGATATTGTCCAAGATTAACCTTCAGGGTGGATATAGCTCGCTCACACCGAGGACCTATTCATGTCATCATTTACCCAGAATGCTTTGCGTGTAAATAAAATGGCCCCATCCGTGTAATATATTTTTAAACTTTTAGTTTAAAAATGATAAAAACTGAACATCCTACAGTTTTTTTACAGTCTTTATTTTACAGTTAAAATACTGTATATGTTTATTAAATAAAGTCGAACGTTACAACCAATCATGGATCCCTTTAAAACACTTGAAAACCCTGAGCAACTATTATTATGACTTGGATTATGACATGACTTCAGTGACAGACCTGTGTAGCTGTGTCACAGCTCCACCGTCTGCGTGTCAACACTGAGTCAACATGCTGTCTTTATGGAGGTAAGGGGATTTTATTTTTATTTTTTCTCAGACCCTGTGTGGCTAGCTCCTAAATCCTTGAGAACTGTGTAAGCATGAGGAAAGTTCGAGAAGATTTAGTTGTTTTTTTTTAATTGAGATCTGCTCAGTTTAGCTCCCATGTTTCATCAGCCCCTTCAAGCCGGTGGTGTTTCTGGGAATGTTTGCAGCAATTAGAGTTATGTGCCTTCATGAAACAAAAGCTAATGTGATTTTGAAAAAAAAAATAACTGATTATGTAAAGGATAGACTGAGTGAAAAACATATCAGATGTGTAATCAAAAGGGATTACTTTATTGTTAAACTATGTCTTAACCAAAATGTACAATGTTATGCATAATAGTCAATTTTATACAAAAGGCGAAAAGATGGTGGAAATTAAAATATAGCAGGAATAAACTTTTCTGGGCTCCAGCTCAGTGGAGCTGTTCTTGATGTGTCCTGGATCACTCAAGTGTTGCTTTGAATGAGTTTCAAGGTTGSGGTAAGACAAAAAAACATTAAAATGAGTATGTGGTGAGTCATGGTTACCTTGTTAGACAGCCACCGTAAAGTTCATCATTCTGTTTTTCTCCCTTTGCTCACAATCCCTCTCTGTTTTCCAAAGATGAGGCTTCCAAATCAATGTTTCTTGGCCCACTGCCTGGCCACAAAGAGATTGGGCCTATCCCAAAAAACACACTCCGAACTGAATATGGCTGACTGAACACTTTTCTTTGGGTAGTAATTGTGGTGAACAGAAAAGAAACCTGAAATGATCTATGATGGGCGT